GGCGACCGGGACGAGCACCCCCAGAGTCAGCGAACGGGGGCTGCGACGGCGGCGGCGACGGCGACGGCTGCAGCGGCGGCAGGGGCGGCGGAGGAGGGGACTGGGGAGGGGCGGCCGGCGAGGACTGCACCGGAGGGCCGCCAGAGTCAGAAGACTCCTCAACCGGGTCCACGGACGGAAGGGGGGTGACGTGGGAGACACCAGAGGGGGCGGGACGGGGAGGAGGAGGAGGAGGGGCAGGGACTACCGGGGAAGGGGTGACCAGGAACAGGGGGGGGTAACCGGGGGACCACGGTGGGGGAAGCGGCGGTAGTAGGAGACGGACTCGTCAAAGGTGACGTCACGAGAGTGAAAGAAGCGGTGAGACGGCGGGTGGTAAAAGTGCCAGTCGGACGTGTCAAGGGGAAAACCGAGGAAGACGCAGGGAAGGGTGCGGGCAGTGAGCTTATCCGTGCCGGAGGCACGGACGTGAGCAAGGCAGCCCCAAACGTGGAACGCAGACGCGTCACCAGGAGACCCAGTCCACAGACGGGTCGGCGAAACCTGCGGCTGCTGAGGGTGCGGCCACAGGTTAAGCTGGTGAGAAGCGTAGCGCACCGCGAACGGCCACAGAAAATGGGGTGCACCGGCATGGACCATGGAGGTGCGAGCGACCTCCATGACCAAACCGATGCGTCGCTCAGCGACCCCATTCTGCTGTGGGGAGTCCGGTAGGGTGAACGTCTGGGTGATGCCCTCCGCACGACAAAATCGACCAAGGACACCTGAGGCAAACTCGCCACCACGGTCAGAGTGAAGACGCAAGACAGGGAGACCGCGGTGGACACGCGCAGAGACAAGCCAGGGGATGAGGGCGTTAGGCACGTCGGCCTTGCGCTCCAAGGGAAAGACTGTGGTGTAACGAGTGAAGTCGTCGACAAGCACAAGGAAGTAGCGCTCGCGACGCGGCCCAGGGACGGGGGCGGGGCCCCAGACGTCCAGGTGCAGGGTCTGCAGCGGCGCGGCGGTAGGGGGGAACGAGGAGGAGTGAGGGGCACGACGAAGCCGACCCTCGACACAAGGCGTGCAAGGTGGAGCTGGGGAGGAGGGAAACGCGGGGAGGGAACCTGGGAGACCAAGGACAAGACCGTGCTGGGACATGTGACGCAGACGCGGGAGCGCATGGTGACCTAGGCGGTGGTGCCACAGGAGGGTCGGGTGAGTGAGGGAGCGACAGGAGCAGGCAGCAGCAACCTGGGTAGACACAGCCATCTGCGGGGGCGCTCCAGCCGGGGGGGGCACGATGTCCAGAGTGAACAGGCCGGACACCGGGTCCCGGGGGAACGTGGACAGGGGGGCACCAGTGGCGGCCTCGGTACAGACATCATACCGTTCGTGACCAGGGAACGTAGTGGTGACGCCAAGGTCCTGGAGGCAGCCGACACCAACTTGGTTCCTGGAGAACGAGGGGATATGCAGACCTGTAAGAGAGCCCGAAGGAACCGCCGGACAGAGAAGGGTGGTGGAACTGCGGGCGACTACCGGACCGCCGGAGGGGTCAGCAAGAGAAACGGCAGCAGGAACAGGAAGCGGCGTCAGGGTGGTGGAGTCGCGGAAGAAACACCGAGAGGCGCCAGAGTCCAAGGTGAAGGAGAGCGAAGCCGAGTGGTCTGGCGACGGAACGACGGTGGAAGCACCAAGACTACACAAAGCAGGGGATCCTACGCCTGACGCAGCAGGGGAGGCTAAGCTAGGCACACCGACACTAGGCAACAGTGAGTAATAAGCAGGAAGCACACTAGAGTCATCAGCATACATCACATGCAGAGCAGAAACAATGGCATCCATGTCCATATCAAAAATCTGAATCTGACGACTAAGCAAACTGTGCCAGTCCGGGAGGTCTGGCGACGGGCCGAAGCGCTGACGAAAGAGGTCGTCCAGGCGACGAAAACAGCGAGGAGTGGAGTGACCGATCTTACCGCAAACGAAGCCGCGGCGAGGACCGGTCTGGATCTGGTACTGACAACGCCCGCCGCCAGAGCCACCACGCGGCACACCACCACGCGCCCGGCCACCACCAGCGCCGGGCCACCCTGGCGGGAGGACACTCGTCTGCCGCGTCTGCGACGGCTGCTGCGGCTGCTGCGAAGGCTGCGACTGCGGCGGCTGCTGCGGCTGCTGCACCTGCAGGGGCGGCGACTCAGCTGAACTGGGCAGAGTCCCCTCGTCCACTCCAGCACCAGGCGACCCGACCCCACCACTACCCCCGCCCGCACCCCCACCGCCTCCTCCGCCGCGCCCAGCCTTGGGGCGGCGGCCCTTCCCCGAACGGACCTGCGCTGCAGCAGCAGTCTCAGCCACTGCGGCAGAGCTGTCGGAGAAGGTGCACTGAGCGGGGGCACAACCCTGAAAGATAGGGACCGGTACGACACCGCTCGCCTGAGCGATGGAGCGGTGACGGGTCTCTATCACAGTCAGGGTGTCTACAAAGTCAGTGAGGGTGAGGTCTGCGGGGTGAATGCTAAGGAAGCGGTCGCGGGCGACAGCAAGGCGGTCAGGGAGGCGGGTGGCAAGCAGGTAGAGGGTAGAGGTAATGGGCGGCTGGTGGGCTCTAAGCTGTGCGTCAGTGCAGGCAGCGCGCCAGGTCTCATCTATCGAGCGCAGGTGGGCAGCGAGGTCAGAGACAGTGGGGAAAGATGCAAGGTCAGGAAAGAGCATCGGGAGGATCAGGCGACCCACCGAGGCAGCCGGAGGGGTGGAATATCGCTTGATCACAGCATCTAAGTATGTCTGAGCAGTAGTGAGGGACCTAAAGCGAGGGCGCTCGGACGGGGGAAGGGCGTTGCTAATGGCAAGCTGGGCGACAGCATCGCGAGAAAGCCAGACAGAGCGCGCACGGGCAGTGGCAGCAGTAGACTCACGCTCAGTGGGTGTGGGGTCAGCGGACAGAATAGCAGGGGGGTCTGGGCAGGGGAGCGTACCGTCAAGGTGTGCAGAAAGCGGTTCACCATCCTGCCGCTGGCCAGTGAGTTGGCGGCGGAGGTCGGCAAGCCACGCCTCGAACTCTAGGGGCTGACCTTCAGCGTCAAAGCGAAGCTCCGCCGCCATCAGGAACAGTCCAGTGCGGTGCAGGGCAGTGCGGTACAGGGCGGTACAGCGCGGTGCAGTGCAGTGCAGTGCGGGGCAGTGTGGTGTAGTGCGGTGGAGTGCGGTGCCAGGCAGTACAGTGTGGTGCGGGGCGGCACGGAGCAGGGCGGGGTGGGGGGGAACCGTACCAGGGAGGAGGACGGGGCCGGGGCTGGCCCGACGGGGCCGGGCGGGCGCGACGGGGCCGGGCTGGGGCGACGGGGCGGGCGAGTGCGGCAGGGCCGGGCCGGTGCGACGGGGCCGGGCGAGCGGGACGGCGGCCGGGCGGGTGCGACGAGGGGGCGGCTGCGACGGGCCGGCGGGTGCGACGGGCGGCGGTGCGACGGGGCCAGGCAGGGGCGACGGGGACAGGCGGCTGCGACGGGCCGGGCGGGCGCGACGGGCCAGGCGGCTGCGAAGGGGCCGGGCAGGTGCGACGGGGCCGGGCGGCTGCGACGGCGCCGGGCGGGCGCGACGGGGCCGGGCGGCTGCGACAGGGTCGGGCAGGATGCGACGGGGCCCAGGAGGGCGCTGCAGGGCCCAGGGAGGGCGCAACGGGGGCCCAGGAGGGGCGCGACAGGGCCCAGGAGGGGCGCTACGGGGCCTGGGAGGAGCGCGACGGGGCCTAGGAGGGGCGCTAGGGGCCGGGGAGGAGCACGACGGGGCCTGGGAGGGGTGCGACGGGGCCCAGGAGGGGCGCTACGGGGCCCAGGAGGGGCGCTACGGGGCCCAGGAGGGGCGCGACGGGGCGCTACGGGGCCTGGGAGGAGTGCGACGGGGCCTAGGATGGGCGCTAGGGGTCTGGGAGGGGCGCGACGGGGCCTGGGAGGGGCGCGACGGGGCCTGGGAGTTGCGTTACAGGGCCCAGGAGGGGCGCTACGACGCCCAGGAGGGGCGCGACGAGGCCCAGGAGGGGCGCTACGGGGCCCAGGAGGGGTGCGACGGGGCGCTACGGGGCTTGGGAGGAGCGCGACGGGGCCTGGGAGGGGCGCGACGGGGCCTGGGAGGGGCGTTACGAGGCCCAGGAGGGGCGCGACGAGACCCAGGAGGGGCGCTACGGGGCCCAGGAGGGGCGCTACGGGGCGCTACGGGGGTGGGAGGAGCGCGACGGGGCCCAGGAGGGGCGCTAGGGGGCATGAGCGGAAGCGGTAGGTGGGGGGGGGATCCTACCTACGCGTGATACCATATCAGAAATTCAAGTGATAGTGATAGAGGGAGAGTACACACAATATAGCTAAGTGTTGTACCCTCTAAGAGGCTACCCTATACAGTCTATACAAACATAACAAATAGACATGTTTGACATTGGAGTGGTGCATATATGCTAAGTGCAACATGCAAATTGTGGTTGTCGTTGTCGGCTTGGAAAGCTTTGCTTGCAAAACGTACATGTCAACCACGCTTGCCGTACGGAAGCATTTGTGCATAACTTAATTGCATTCACGACATCATTGTACATTCGTGCGCGTTTGTACGTGGTTGATTTTGTGTGCCAAAAATGTGACAGAATGTATGTTTTGAAACCATTCGTCCGCCGTATTCATCCACGGACTGTTGGTAGGCAAAACATATATAAAGTAAACAGCATAAGGGTCGTATTATAACAACACTATACGAGTGTAAAATATTAAAATTCAACCATTTACAGGTGTAGTAATCCTAAAGTTATTGGACACCCTGGCGCACGAAAACATGAAACCAATTTAATAAGGTTTCTACGCAACCCAAAAAGGGTTACCCGACGGCTTCAGCTAGGGGTGTCACCTCTTTCAACCTTGGGCACATCAGATTTTTGGATGTCATTGAGCGGTACAGTGTGGTTCCCTTTGTTCTCAAAACGGCCAAAACGTTTATGCTTCGGTAACTTCACCTCAAATCCCGGGAAGTCAGGGTTTCGCACACTTACTTTCGCAAACACTCGCCGGCAGTATTCGTTCGCCGGGCCCCGCCAGCACCACCACAGATGCCCTTACCTGACCGCGTACTCCGCTCCGAACTCCCGACAAAAAAATAAAAGGCGCGCGTCGGGAACGAAAGCGCATCGCCGTGTTTGAGTAGCGATCCCCGCTATCCTGGTTATTCCTCTCTCGCGGTCGTCTTCAGGCCACATTCAAGCCGCGTTAGCACCACGTCCGGACCCCGTTTTCCCCGCTCTCGCAAGGTACGGGCGGCGCTTGCCGCGCCATCATTACCCTCACCCCTCTCGCCCCGCACCCCTCTCGCCCCGCACCCCTGTCGAACCGCACCCCACTCGACCGCACCCCTCTCGCCCCGCACCCCACTCGCCCGCACCCCTCTCGCCCGCACAACCCTCGCCCGCACCCCGCTGGCCCTCCTTGCGTCCGTCTCTCCCTTCCACCCCCTGCTCCCCTCGCTCTCCCCCCCTAACCCCCTCGCTCACCACCCCTGCTCCCCTCGCTCACCACCCCTGCTCCCCTCGCTCACCACCCCTGCTCCCCTCGCTCACCACCCCTGCCCCCCTCGCTCACCACCCCTGCCCCCCTCGCTCACCACCCCTGCTCCCCTCGCTCACCACCCCTGCTCCCCTCGCTCACCACCCCTGCCCCCTCGCTCACCACCCCTGCTCCCCTCGCTCACCACCCCTGCCCCCCTCGCTCACCACCCCTGCCCCCCTCGCTCACCACCCCTGCACCCCTCGCACCAGTAAAAAAAAGCAGCTCCGGACCGTTTTTAACAGTTTTATACGGCCGAAAAATGTGATATCGTATTATACGGGGGAAAAAAAACAACGGCCGTTTTTTTTTGTGCCTTGGCGGGATCGCAGGATAAGGAAGAGATGGGGAGTGAGGGAGGGTGACGGGAGGTAGGGGAAGGAGAAGAGGAAGCAAGAGGATGGCGGGGTGAGGGAGGAATGGAGGAACGGAGGACTGGCACCCGATTTGCAACCACTCGTTTTCATCACAATACCTATCGACTCCCCACCTTTTGGGAAATGCGTGCTGCTGTCTCCCTCAAAGCAGCAGACCAGCCGACCTCGCCCCACCCCACTATCAACTCAACCTCTCGCCGCCCCCCTGTTTTTACTCAACACAGAGACGTCACTCACTGTGAGCCCGTCCTCTTGATCCCCTCCGTGTTGTCCTCCCACCTCAGGGACGACCAGCGCTTGCATCCTGGCAGCTCGCTGTGGCCAGCTTTAGGCGGCCCACAAGCCACCAGTGCTGTAGGTGTCACCAGGCGCCTGCCGCTCACAGCTGCGGGGTCACCAGCGTGTGGAGGAGAGGAGGCGCCCATGGGCGGCGTCGACGGCGCGCTGGCGGGGGCTGGCGGGGCGGGCAGGGCTGGCGATGGCCGCGTGGTGTGCGTGACGTGCGGGGCGCGGCGAGAGCAGCTGTACCGCGTGCATTCGCCTGGCAGCATCGAAGTGCTCAAATGCGTGAGTGCAGCCGGCCATGCTCCTCGTGCACCTCTCCATCCGCTCCTCATACCATTTCCTTGACTGTCATCTCACTCTCTCATTCCTCTTTCCCCTTGTCCCTTGTCCATGCCCGTTCCCCGTGCGTCGCGCCCTCGTGTTCCCCGTGCATCGCATCGCGCCCTCGTCACCCTCACTACAGGGTGCATGTGGCGCCGTTGCCGACCCCTATGTGGAGTGTGACCCGCTGGTACGCTTCCACCTCTCGGGCCTCCGTGTGTCACCCCGCCCTCACTGCCTTGGGCTCTTCCCCTCGCCTTTTTCCTTTTAGATTCTTTCCTTTTAGATTCTTTCCACACAAGCGCTCTCGGTTCCGCCCTGCCTCCCTTTCGCACGCACCCCGCTCCCTTTTTAGCCCCCTACCCACCACTTGGCTTGGACCGATCTCGCCTGCAGCAGCTGTAAGGTGCCTCGGAGCTGAATGGCGAGAGGGAACCATATGTGTGTTAGTCCCTCTCTCCCCAGCCTTAGCTGCGCTTCCTCCTCCACCCCAATTGCGTCTCGGCTGGTTGTCCACTGTCAGTCAGTGTGCTCTGCTCACATCAAACCCTTCAGTCAGTGTGCTCTGCTCACATCAAACCCTTCAGTCAGTGTGCTGTGCTCACATCAAACCCTTCAGTCAGTGTGCTGTGCTCACATCAAACCCTTCAGTCAGTGTGCTCTGCTCACATCAAACCCTTCAGTCAGTGTGCTCTGCTCACATCAAACCCTTCAGTCAGTGTGCTCTGCTCACATCAAACCCTTCAGTCAGTGTGCTCTGCTCACATCAAACCCTTCAGTCAGTGTGCTCTGCTCACATCAAACCCTTCAGTCAGTGTGCTCTGCTCACATCAAACCCTTCAGTCGGTCGCTTGCCTTCGTCAAACCTGCACTTCCCACCAGCTCGTGCATTTGAATGTGCTTCTATCGAGGCGTTGATTTGGAGTTTCCTTCCTCCACATCTCTTTAGTCCCACCAGCTCGTGCTGCTGAACGTGCTTCAATTGAAGCCCCAATCGATGCCTTTCCCTGCCTGTGTCTCTCCCCCAGCTCGTGCTTTTAGACGTGCTTCTATTGAAGCCTCAGGCGCACCGGCACGTGGTGCACAACCTGATTCTCGCCTCGCCGCTGCCAAGCCTTGTGAGCATACCAGAGTGTTCTCAACTGCCTTGCCGCACTCACCAGGGCGGGTCTGAAGGTCCTTGGGTAACCGTCATGGGGACTGCCCTCTAGAATGCTGGCCTCCTGCTGCTATCACGTGCCACACGTGATGACTGTAAGGGAGTCTGGGGTTAAGGCGCCTCGTTTCATGACTGCACGGGACGGGAGGACCATTTCAGCCCCGCCCCCCTTCGGTGTCTCCCCACATACATCTCCATGTCTCTCTCGTGTATTTTCATACTTAGCATTCTCAAGCGGTCCTTGTATTCATAGGCAAACCGGCAGTGGCAAACCGGCAGTGGCAAACCGGCAGTGGCAAACCGGCAGTGGCAAACCGGCAGTGGCAAACCGCAATGGCAAACCGGCAGTGGCAAACCGGCAGTGGAAAACCGGCAGTGGCAAACCGGCAGTGGCAAACCGGCAGTGGCAAACCGGCAGTGGCAAACCGGCAGTGGCAAACCGGCAGTGGCAAACCGGCAGTGGCAAACCGGCAGTGGCAAACCGGCAGTGGCAAACCGGCAGTGCCAAAGCGGCAGTGGGCAAACCGGCAGTGGCTCACCGGCAGTGGCACACCGGCAGTGGCACACCGGCAGTGGCACACCGGCAGTGGCACACCGGCAGTGGCACACCGGCAGTGGCACCAGGTGAGTACATGCAACGGGCCGAGGTAGGCGCTGCTCGCCAGGGCGGCGTCGTGGGCATTTTTCAGGCAGGAGGAGGCCTGGCAGTGCTGGAGAGCGGCACACCATCGCTGCTGGAACTGGTGCACCATATTGGCAGCCTGGTAAGTCGATGGGTCCCCGTTAAACAGCTTCCGGGTGGCCTGCCAGGAGCTTCAGGAAGGCGGGCTCCTCCCATCAGGGGAAGCCGTACGTCTCGACTGTGAGGGGGAAGACGCCCACGTACTCCGCCCGGGTCTGGTAGTGGTCAATCTTGTCGTCCTCGCGTTCCCTCGCTGCCCAACCCCGCCCTTGCGGGCATGCGGGTTCTGGCGACTGATTGGGTCCTTGAATGGTGACTTCGCAGATCCAAACGGCGCTGGTGTCGCGGTCGCGGATTGCAAGGTCCGCCTTCTGGCCGTTCACAGGGCAAAAAAAAGTCGTCTCCATGTAGACGATATATCCCGCATCCCTGCCCATGCACACGCACTCGTCCCGCAGGGCGTTGTGCGTGTCCGTCCTTCCATGTCCCGCCCCGCAGCGGAATGGGTGGCTAGGGATCTGCGGGTCGAGGATGGGGATGCGGTCGGAGCAGTGCAGATGCTGGACAAGGGCACACCCATTCGAAACGCCAGGGCGATGGTGAAATGTGCGGGGTTCAGACGTAGGGAGGGGAAAAGGGGGATAGCGAGTAGCCAGTGTGTGCCCACAGAGGGGTTGAGCTCCATGTCACGGGTGGCGCCACCTGGCTGGCATGCCGACCGCCTTGGACCTCGAGGGCCAAGCGTGGGCTCCTCTTGGTGCTCCGCCTGCAGCAGTGGCGCGCGCTGTGGGGAGCTCGGCCTCGCACGCGGCGAGCCAGGTGTGGAGAGGCGAGGGTGCAGGAAGAGGGGGAGAGGGACAAGGTGCAGTGTGGAGGGGCTGTCGGGCGGGGTGCGGAGGAACGGGCAGCAAGGACTGGACCTGCGTGGTGCTCGTGAATGAACGAGTACCCGCCCTACACGAGGGGGTCCGCCAGCCCAACGCCTCCAAGGGACGGTGCCAGCGACGCTTGGGCCCAGGCTCTGGCTAGCTCCGTGGCTCCCCGAGCAGCTGCAGCGCGCAACGGAGGGTAGGGAAGAGGGATGGTCCCCACTCGGACCACTCCGTTGCAGAGAGCAGGTCCATTGGTGTTGTGCGGCAGACCAAGTAAGATATGCGGCGGGATACACAGAGCTGCAGCAGCAGGCCAGGGATGCGACCTGTGGGTCCATCTTGGCGATTTTGAGGTGCCTCAAAAATCGTCTCATTTCACGCGGATTTTATATGGGGAATATTTTCATTGCATGGAGGTGTGCACGTAACCTTCAAAAGTTACTTGTGCGAGCCAAGTTACCAAGGCTTATCGACAGTTCGGAAGAAGACCCTCCTGAAGGCTGACACCTGCAACCTCGGGGTTTTACCCACTGCTGTGTTGGCGAATGCCTATGATAGGCAATCTGGTAGTTGATAATCTTGAGAATTGTTTTCGAGGGTGTGGGTTGTTACTTAGCTCATGCCTAGCCTGTGATCTCTTATGTCCGGAAGCACTGATGAAGGCTCAGCGGGTTCATCCCCGTAAGCCGAAACATGTTTGCGACCTGGTAATTTTGAGTGAAAGGTTTTTCGAGCAAATCTCTTGCCTAGGATTTTAACTCTTGTTCTTTCTGCTCAAGCGACTTACTTTGCACTGCTGCTCTTCCCAAGACCATGAGTGACGACGACCCGTGGGACTTCGATTGGATTCCATCCGACGAGGAAGAAGCCGGTGCAAGTGTCGTAGCTCGGTTCAGCGCGTTCGTGGGGAGGGAGGATCGTCACGCTCCGCAAGATACGCCAGCGATCTGGAGCTGGAGTCGGCTGTCAAAAAGCTTTCGCGACGACTTCAAGACTTTGCTGAAGGCGAAAGAGAAGCTAAGAGATGAAGGATCTCGATGCTCAAGGTGTTCTGCTTCACAGCATCCGCACCAAGGCCGTCGAGTTCCAAACGAAGCTTCCGTCCGTCAAAGAGAAATCTGCTGCGTCCGTCGCCGCGATTCACGAGGCAAACCAGAAACGGCTACAGGCGGACTTCATCGCCTCGAAAGCACTGGAGGTTGAAGAGCTGCAGGCGGACTTCATCGCCCTCCTCGCACGTAGCATTCTCTGTTTCCATGAAGTTTGAGGCGCCTTAAAAATCATCCACGCATACCCCCTCGTCTCCGTATCCGTTTCGGCATCACGCAACAACGTAGAGCATGAAACCTTTCGTGTCCCATCGTCACCTGTTGTATTTCCCATGGTCACCTGTGTATTTGCCGATCCATCCTCTCTCTTTCCTTTCCCCTCTCTCCATCCACCTTTCCGTCCCTCCCCTCGTCCTCCCTCCCCCAACCCTTCGCCGGTGCTTGTGATCAGCGCCCCTGTGTCTCTCCATGGCCATGATCCTGCTCTGCCATGCCAGTGAGTCATGTGCCACATCATGCGCCATGCTAACATGTCATGCCCTCATGCGCCATGCTAACATGTCATGCCCTCATGCCATGCCATGCCAGCCAGGTTAACATATGCCATGCTGTCATGTTAGGTGTATCCTTCACATCTCACGTTGTGCATGACTTTCCACTGACTGCCATGCTGTACATGTCTTTTCACCTTTCATGTGTCTCTTACCTTATACATATCTCTCCATTATAACTATCTCCCACCAGCTTCGCTGCCTTCCCGTCATCCCGTTGGCGTCTTTCCCCGTCGTTTTCCTCTTTCCCTTTTCACCCACCCATCCCCTTCCCACGCATCCCCTTGCATCGTGGCTCCTCTCATCTCCCCCCCCCAGCGCTGCTCGTGTTCCGTGCGGCTCAAGGGCTCAGAGTCGACCCTGCGGACCTCATCTCCCTCCCCATCATGGCTCAGGTGCTCCCCATCATGGCTCAGGTGCTCCCCATCATGGCTCAGGTGCTCCCCATCATGGCTCAGGTGCTCCCATCATGGCTCAGGTGCTCCCCATCATGGCTCAGGTGCTCCCCATCATGGCTCAGGTGCTCCCCATCATGGCTCAGGTGCTCCCGTCATGGCTCAGGTGCTCCCCATCATGGCTCAGGTGCTCCCCATCATGGCTCAGGTGCTCCCCATCATGGCTCAGGTGCTCCCGTCATGGCTCAGGTGCTCCCATCATGGCTCAGGTGCTCCCCCATCATGGCTCAGGTGCTCCCCGTCATGGCTCAGGTGCTCCCCATCATGGCTCAGGCGCTCCCCATCATGGCTCAAGGTGCGCTCCTGTGCTGCTGTCCCTCCCTCATCTGCCTCTGCATTCTTGCCCTGTGTATGCATATGTTCATGTGAACGTGTTCATGTGAATGTGTTCATGTGAATGTGTCCTTGCCATCCGCATTTCTCTGGTAATGCCAGTTGTAAGGAGGACATGTTTGCGAAGTCTGCTGATTAGATCTAGTTGACAACGTTTCTCCTTTTTTCCAAACTGATTCATCCCTCGTGACATGGCATTCGGTCCATGCCTTGTATGCTATGGCCACGGCATGGCATGGCATGGCATTGCACGGCATGGCACGGTATGGCATGGCACGGCATGGCTCGGCATGGCATGGCATGGCACGGCATGGCATGGCACGGCATGATATGGCATGGCATGGCATGGCATGATATGGCATGGCATGGGTGGGTGGCACCTAATGGCATGGCATGTCACGGCATGTCACGGCATGTGGTGGCAGGGTGTGGCGGTCTCTCTGCTCTCCAAGCTTCTCTTCCTCGCTCTAGTCTTCTTCTCCCTGCCCGCTGCCCGCCACTTGCTGAGCTGGCTCCCTGCAATTGGTCCACCTCACACAGGCAGCACTCAAGAAGGCCACAGAAACACAGAAGACTCGTGTAAGCACGGTGCCCTCACATGTGCGCCGATGCTCTCTGTCGTGGATGTGCCATCATTCGTTCCTCAATTACCCCAATCGCTCCACCCAGTCCTCATTATCTCCACTCTTGCCGGCACCCATGCCTGCTTCACTCACGCGTTTGGATTCTAACTGCATCATCTCTTTGTCTCCTAAACCTCTTGTCTCCTTTTCCTCCGCGTCCTTTGCTTCCCCTCGCTTCCTATCTTTCTTCCTGTCCCACGCTCCCCTCCTCCCTCTC